ATATAGGTGGGTGCTGGGAAACAAACTTGGGTCCTCTAAAAGAGTAGCAGTACGCGCTCTTAAAACCATTGAGCCATCTCTCCAGCCCCAAACATATTTTAAATTTTCTTGTTTTCTACATCTATTTTTGTGCGCGCGCACACACACACTGTGTCTATCTATCTCTCTGTGTATGTGTGTATGTGATATGACATGTGTAGAGGTCAGAAGACAAGTTGCAAGAGTCAATTATTTCCTTCTGCCATGTCGATTCCAGGGATGGAACTCAGAGTTTCCGGCTAGGTAGCAAGCACCTTCTGCAGCTGAGGCATCGTGCCAGCCTCCACCTGTAATTTAAAACTTGCTTTTTAAAAGGTATAAAGAAAGCAGCATCCTCAAGCTTCAACAAAACAAAAGAAAACAAAACAAAAACAAACAAACAAACAAACAAAAGAAACCCAACACCTTTTAACCGTGGAGAGTTTGAAGCTACTAGCCTTTGACTCAGTAGCCCTCCACTGTCATAAATACATCTGGATGCTTCTCTCAAAGATAAACCCTGCCTTTTCAAACTACCACAATACTTTTATCATGCCTAAAAGTAATGCTCACTTTAGGGCTATTGTTAGAGGAGGAAAAAAAATGAACTTTAAGCATTTGCAAACATACTAGCTCTTATTTATTTATTTTTTCTCTGTGTTCTCTAGTGACCTTGAGCATGTAGCTATTTACTAAATAAACATGGTGGTCCCACCTGCTGTCCTGGGACGCCTCCAGATTTGTGCTGTGATTGAGGCTCTGGGCTGCTGACTGCCCCTTGCCCTCTGAGGGACAAAGGGTGTTTCCTTCAGCTGGATTGTGTTTGCATGTTCGAGGTGGTTTCCCTAGAGCCTCTTCTAGCTTCCAAAGCTCCTCCTGTTGTCAGTAAATATTTGCTGAGAGTCACAATGTGTCCATCGTCGCTGCCTGCTGCAGCTGAGAGTGGGAACGAGGACAGATGGGGGGCTGGTGGCTGCCAGGGGAGCAGGCCTCTGATCCTGCAGACACCTGCAGCCACTCAGGCCTGGCTGTGGTCGTGGGGAAGATGGGCACGAGGAGTCCTAGCAGTGCTGAAGGATCAAGGAAGCCACTCTGGAGGAAGGGACATTTCAGTCTAGCAGTATGGCGGAGGGAGGAGCCTTGTAAGTGGCATGAGGTAAAAAAGGAGTTGGCAGAAGAACAGAAGAAGGGCCAGGAGGCTGGGTGGGGAAGTGGAGAGGAGCCCCTATCTCTGGCCCGACTCTTTTAAATGGTTCTGGAACTTGAGGGCTAGGCTCCCAGCCTCTTTGTCCCCTGAGACTCTGGGATGCCACCTAGCCATCTGAGGTCCAGTTCCCCACTGACTCTCCATTGGTTTGGAGGCAGAGTGGTTAGAGAAGTTCACATTTGCAAAGACAGGGGCAGAAACCTGAATGCTCACCCCAGATGAACCAATAACATTTACACAGCAGGGTTGTGAGGACTGAAGGAAATACCATGTAATAAAAAAACACCAAGTGTGCAGCAAATGTTTTCCTCTTTCTCTTCCTTCTTATGTGCCCTTCCAGCCTTTCCCTGCGTGGTCCAGCGCCTTCCCCCAGGAGCACCATGCTGCTGGCCCTGCTTCTCAGCAGAGCCCTGTGGCCTGGCCCTTTTCCTGGAGGTCTTTTGTTTTAGATGGCATTTTAATGATTTTTACTTTTACTTTCCTTTTGAAGATTGAAATAAAGGGAGGCTGGAGAGATGGCTGAATGGTTAAGAATGTGTCCTGCCCTTGCCGAGGACCTGAGTTCAGTTCCCAGCCTCCACGCTGGGTGGCTCAGAACTGCCTGTAATTTAACTCCAGGGGCTCTGACATCCTCTTTTAGCTTCTGTGGACCCCTGTGCTTACATGTACACGTACCCCTACACGGACACATGCCTATACCGATGACTAAAAACAAGTCTTTAAACTGATACTTTACTAACTTTTTGAGACTTTCGTACAACGTATTTGTATTATATTCACCTCTAGATCTTCCCCTACTCACCCCCACTTCACTGTCCACTCAACTTCATGTCCTCCTTTATTAAAAAAAAAAAAAAGGCAATTCAGTCCAGTTTGTGTTGTCCAAATAGTCTTGGGTGTGGAGTCATCTCCTGGAGCATAGTGAGCCTACTAGGAGCCACACACCCCTAAAGAAAACTGACTCTCTTGTCAGTTATCCAATGCCGAGAGCTCCAGCTAGGGGCAGGACTTCATGTCCACCTCCAAAATAAATCTTTAAAAAAGTTTACATAAAACTGATTCAGCAATAACAACAACAGCAACAGGCCAGAGTAGAAAAGAACACAAAGTGAAAGGCGGTGTCCTGTTCCCCTGAGATTGTCACCAAAGGTTTGGATTGTGTCTCTGTAGAAAATTTCTGCACCCGTTCTTAAGACAAAAACAGGAATGTAGAATTGATTCTTTTCTACTCAGCGTATCTTAGACATCTTTCAACGCACATAAATCCTTTTCCTTGTTGAGTCAGGGGCTCACTCTGTAGCTCAAACAGGCCTGGAACTCACTATGCAACCCCAGTTAGTGTCAAACTCAGGTCAACGCCCCTGCCTCAGACTCCTCAGTGCTGGGATTGCAGGCCTGACCCGTCCTCATCCCCCAGGACCTCTGTGTCTGACCTCCTCTTTGCACCTTGCTGTGTTTCGAATCTCATCAGGGCCATGTGTCGTCAGCAGCCTGTTTTTCAGGAACTGGGTGGGGCCCGGGGCTGCAAGAACAGCTTCTGTTTCCTGGTCTGTGGGGAGTTTCATTGGAGCTTTTCCTTTTCCCAATTACGTGTTAGCAAACTGGGGATATCTGAATGCCAGAGTGTCACTCCATGCGACAGTCATTGGAACTGACAAACACATTTCAGAGTAGTAGTAGCGACCACGGGATCAGGATCCCAGTGCGTGGGGTGGACATGCAAGCTGTTACCAGAAACCAAACACCAGGTGTCCCAGACCCTGACATCCCATCACTTCCCAAGTTTGTACAGAAGAGTAAAAAGCACTGGGTGTGTCCCCTCCTTGTGGTAAAAACACTCACATAAACAAAAGCACAGAAGGAAGAAAAGTCACCCTTTGTTCTCTCACCCATTTCGCTGTCCCCTCCTCAGAGGTGATTGCCATTAACGATTTGTGAGGAATCTTTCTGGGTATTTTATTTATTTATTTTTATTTTACAAACTTGGAATGAGCTCAACGCTTGTTATTTTGTGACAATAAATAATTTAGAATGCAAATTACAGTTTCATATTTCAAAAGAATTTTCTGAAGATCTGGAGGTGGGGGAATCTACAAAAAGGGAATTGAAAATGTTAGCTCGAGTCTGGTGTGGTGGTCGGTACAGCCCTTTAATCCCAGCGCTCGGGAGGCAGAGGCAGGTGGATCTCTCTGAGTTTGAGGCCAGCCTGGTCTACATAGTGAGTTCCAGTCCAGCCAAGGCTCTGTAGCAAGACTCTTCCTCAGTAATGGAAGGAAGGAAGGAAGGAAGGAAGGAAGGAAGGAAGGAAGGAAGGAAGGAAGGAAGGAAGGAAAGAAAGAAAGAAAGAAAGAAAGAAAGAAAGAAAGAAAGAAAGAAAGAAAGAAAGGAAAAGAAATATTGGTGGAGGAGGGAGTTGCCAGGTGTAGACTAGGTACTGGGTCATCTCCTTGTCTCTCAAGTCTTGGGTCTCTGAAGTCTTGTCTCTGGGTCTTGTTTTTTGTTTGTTTGTTTTTTCCTCTCTCTTTCTTTTTTTCTTTTAAAAGTTATTTCTTTAAAAATATTCCTGTTCCATTTTATTATTTTTTATTACTTTTGTTCGTGTGTGTGTGGGGGGGTGTGCGCCCGTGTGCTCATGGGTGAAACAGTGCCCACATAGAGATCAGAAGACAACTGTAGCAGTTAGCTCTCTCCTTCCACCGTGATGTGGATCTCGAGGATCAAACTCCCGAGCTTGGCGGCACCTTTCCTGGCGGAGCCATTTCTCCAGCACCCCCATTCTCTTCCTCTTTTTCTCTTTATTTCCTTTGTTTGAGGAGGTCTCTGCTGTCTCCCCACATCTAACAAACCCGAAGTGTGAGGAGCTGGGCCCAACCCCAAACAGGGTTGGCTTAAATGTGAATGTGCGCTCACGTGCAAGCTATTTGGGCCCTTTGAACTTCCACGCCCTCCGCTATGAAGTAGACAGGAGAACTGTTGGTAAATGGCTACAAACATTACACATTTGAAGCAAATTTTTTTTTTTTTGGTGGTCAAAAAAACCCACTTTTTTTCCTGCTTCCTGAAGCCTTCATCTTACAAAGCTGTGTCAGATTTGGACACACTACCTTTGAATTGCAGTTTGCTGATGATTCAAGCTTTGACTGCTGGAATTAAAGACCAGCTAAGTGGAGTGGGAAGATTCTTCAGGGCTGGAGTCACACCACCTCTGCTTGGCTTTTCAGAAATGTTTTGTAAATGGACACAACAGGTCGTGGGCTAACCCCACCTCTTTCCCTCAGATCTTGGCTGCAGGGTCAGCCCTGCCCTCATAGGACAGTTTTGTTACCAGATGAGGGTCAACCCCAACTTTCCACAGTTCAGGCCATGTGGTTAGTGAGGCAGCTGAAGTCATCAGAGGAACTGGCATACTGCAGAAAACAGTGTCACCTCAAAGCATTGTCACCTCAGTGCAGAGTTTCATGGTATAATTCCTCTGGCATCTTTGTGAGTTAGAAATGGATGTCTCCTTGGGAAAATGGAGTGTGAAGGTTCTTACCAACGAGAATGGTGGGCCAAGGCTTGATAGGAGTGGCCAGTAGATGCTTTCTCCAGGGTACAGGCAACCCCAGCCCATGCCAGGCACAGTGTGACAGCAGATTGCCAGGTTGGGAGTCTGCCCCCTCGATGCTTCTGCTGGGGTACCCAGGGCCAGGCACAGCCTGCTTAATCACACATGGGTGCCCATTATCACTGCTGGGTTTGTAAGACTTACGTTCTCTTTCCTGCCTTCTCCTAGCCTCCAGAACTAAGCAATGGCGAATCTACCAGGAAGCTTCCTCAGGGTGTTGTCTATGGTGTGGTGCGAAGATCGGATCCCAATCAACAGAAGGAAATGGTGGTGTATGGCTGGTCCACCAGTCAGCTGAAGGAAGAGATGAACTACATCAAAGATGTGAGCGACCCAAGGACATTTTGATTGTCTGTCCTTTGAAGCAGAAGGGGTGGGGTGGGGTCAGAAGCATGGATGGGAATGCTAAGCAGGCATTTTGGAAGCCTTATTTGGGATGGAAATGTTTCTCCATTTTCTTTGTGGTGATGCTAAAGGTACAGGTATAATTTTTTTTTTTTTTCAACAAGCTTCTCTTGGGTGGTTGTTACAGGCAGAAGGATCATGAGACCCAGGGTTTCTGCTGGGTGTGGTGTGGAGGCTCCTGGGTGGTTTTGCATAAGATACCAGACACACATAATGTTTAGGTTTGGGCGGCTGTATAAATGTGGTGTTACTGGCTGCTCGTAAGAGAACAGCCAACTCAGAAAGAAACGTGTTTTTCCTGGAGATGAGTCTGGAGGTAGGGGATTCTGGGCAGGTGAAGCTGGGCTCTGGATCTGCTTTTCTGTATTTCTTCGGGCCCTTTCTTTCTTTGGCCTCAAGACTGGGTCTCTTCTCTACATTGGATGTTTGGAGAAAGAAAACAGGACACCCACTTCTGTACAATTTTTGAAGTTGCCCAGCTCCGATTAGACATTCCCTTACATGCCATCTTGGCCAGGGATGGTCACGTGCCCAATCCCATACCAATCACTGACATGGAGCATGGGCAGACTCGGCAGGATCACACCAACGTGGTGTGGAGCGTATCTATGTGGAAAGAGTGTGTGGATGAATAGATTCGCTCTGAGTTCAGTGAGAGACCCTACCTCAGGTCATAAGGTATCGAGTGATCAAGGAAGACAGCTAATGTCAAACTTTTGGCCTCCAGACTTGTACATGCTTATTCACACACACAACCATACACTCATATGCACCTGTGCACATGGACACACACACACGCTTATACTCACACACTATGTATTACAACCACTAGCCTTGAACACCCAGTTATCTGATCTCTTAAAGTAGTTTTTTTTTTTTTTTTTTTTTCAATCATGCAGAATGTTGCATCCCAGATTGTTTTAACAGTTCAGGCCTTTCTCAAGGAAATATTTAGACCTTCATTTACATGCTCCATATAACTTGGGATTACTTTAGAAATAAACCTTCAATTTGAGAGCTCAGACTCTCAAATTGCCCAAGACAAAGGCAAATACAGCAGGTCCAGGCTAATCCTCAGCTATAAATGACATGCCCTGTGATCACAGAACTGGTTCTGACCCTGAATTCCCAACCTCCACTGACTTTGCAATACGCAGTTAATCTCTAGGTCCCACCTTCAATGGCTGGTTTCAGATCCATCCCAGCCTGCTCATTTCCTCAGCGTGTTTATGACTTTGTTGCCCTTGCTCCCTGATGGGAGACACCCCGCCTTGTTGGCTTCCTACACTGTTCAGTGGGAGCAACACCCAGCTCAAGGTCCTGCCCATTCACCTCTGGTGACAGATAGCACAAGAGCCAGCCAGGGTGATATAGAGTTATTCGTCCTCTGGAATAAAGAGGCATGCTTTGAGGCTTGCAGTCAATAGCAAGAAAGTAGACTATTAGAATTTATCGGGTAGGGGCTGAAGAGATGGCTTAGGGGCTAAGGTTTCCTACTACAGAGGACCCAGATTCGATTCCCAGAACCTACCCATGCCAGGTACCTCACACATGTCTGTAACTTCAGTTCTGGGGGATTCTACACCTTCTTCTGCCTTCTACTGGCACTTGTACTTACAAACACACACACACACACACACACACACACACACACGTACACACACACACACACACACACAGAGAGAGAGAGAGAGAAAAAAAATCTTTTTTTTTTTTTAAAAAAAAAAAACACAAACAAACAGAAAAACTTCTTCTGGGGAATGCCTGAGGTCTTGACTCCTCTCTTCTCCTAACTCTCTACCAGTATCCATTCTGAAACAAAATGTACCTAAGTGTTAGAGTTCTTGCCTAGCTTGCGTGAGGCCTTGAGTTCAAATCCCTAGCACAAGAAATAGAAAACAAAATCTCAAAAGCAAACCAAGTTTTTTCTTATACAAATATACCTTCAGTATCAAGTCTTCTGGCACGGTCCCTAAACACTGACACTCAAATCAAGACTGCTTCTCATTGGTAAGCCAGACAGCCTGGAGTTGGCCTGGAGGAAGCTCCCTAGAGACTTCTTGATCTGTTGGAAGACTCCCAAGAACTTTACTACACATCTAAGAGGACGGGACACCAGAAGACGGGAAAACAGGGTTGTGGATCAGCCTCCCACTTAATACTCTTCTGATAGACACCCCACAGCCTACACTTGCATAGTGTCTGTATGAGCGAGGGTTTGGGGAGCACTTGCCCGTTTGTTACACCCAGTGTGTGTTCTGTTGGTAATTACTGAGAAACTGACGTCTGAATTTATGGCCCCTTCAGGCCTCGCATTTTTCCACCTTGCATTCTAGACGTTTAATTGCTTTTTGGCATTTGGAGCAGAGAGAGGGGGGAAATTAGAGGTTGCTGCTTGCTTTGGGGTGTTTTCATCCGTATAGCCGTGTGTTTACAGTTGGTTAGTTAAAAACTTCCTGCTTGTAAAAACATGTGATTGGAAGGGGTAAACTTGGTTCAAACAGGGTTTGAGGGTGATGGGTGAGTTTTAAGTGGTTGTTCTTTGGCTTACTGTTCGGATAACGTAATGTTTGTTAATCCTGATCCTCATATATGGTACACATTACTGTTCAGATAGTCTCCATTGTTTCTAAGAGTGATTCTGTCACTTCATCTGCTACATGGTTTCTTAAAAAAAAGAGAAAGGTTTATTTATTACATTTAGTGTTCTGCCTGCATATACACCTGCGTGCCACAAAAGGTCACCAGACCTCATTATACATGGTTGTGAGCAACCATGTGGTTGCTGGGAATTGAACTTAGGACCTTTGGAAGAATGGCCAGTGCTCTGAACCTCTGAGCCATCTCTCCAGCCCCTACATGTCTTATTCTTAAGATGTTTTTGTTGGTTTTTCTCTTATTAATAAAATTTCCAGTATCTCTCATGAAGGTATTGTAACCTAATAATTTAACTAGTGTTTTTGTGGTCGCAGGTGAGGGCCACCCTGGAGAAAGTGAGGAAGCGGATGTATGGAGACTATGACGAGATGAGACAGAAGATCCGGCAGCTCACCCAGGACCTGTCAGTAAGTCGATGCCTCAGCACGCAGCCGTAAGAGGATCTCAGAGTTCGGGGCCCACGCTCAGTGGCCTGGAGAATGGGTTTGAATGGCTCAGGCTTTTTATGAATGGAGCCATACGTTAATCGAACTGAGGGGATGGACATCTTTTGAGTCACAGCTTGAACTCTATTGTTTAAAGGGAAATGTCTAGCAGTCTTCCTTATAGCTGCATTACAAGAGCGGTGCACACTCTTTTAACTGCTGAGCCATCTCTCCTGCCCCTGCCGGGCGAGTTCTAGATAATGTTCTACTTACACAAAAGAGTTTTACTTTTAATAAAGATGAAGTCTTGTGTAGTCCAAGTGGCCTCAAACTCATATAAGCTTGAACTCGTCGGGTTCCTGTTCTCACCTCCCCAGGGAAGGGATTATAGATGCGCACCACCATGCTTGGTTAATGGGGTGCTAAGGAGCAAACCCAAGGCCTTCTGCATGTTCTGCTGACTGAGCCGCTCCCAGCCCTCAGATTCTATTCTTAAGAATGTATTCTACAGACAAGCTCCCTAAAAATGGCTCATGGATGAGCTAGTGTTTTGTTTGTTTGTTTTTTGTTCTTTAAGATCATTTGTAATAGTTTTTTTTTTTTAATGGAACTTGAAATACACACCAAGAGTAAGAAAGTAGGTTCTCTCTCTCTCTTTCTCTCTCTCTCTCTCTCTCTCTCTCTCTCTCTCTCTCTCTCCTGGCAAGCACTTTACCAACTAAGCTAGCTCCTTGGTCCCGGATGTTGGTGTGTAATGTATAGTTTTACTGTAAATATTCCTGAAGATGATGTGGCTGTTGCCTGGAGTCTGGGGTGTGGATTGGTTTTGAGTGACTGTCTTCCTCTCTCCAGGTATCCCATGCTCAGCAGGACTATCTAGACAGTCACATCCAAACCCAGTCATCAGCTCTGGACAGCTTCAATGCCATGAACTCGGCGTTGGCGTCAGATTCCATTGGCCTGCAGGTAGTCCTCTGCTTCCTCTTAGCTGGGAACTGTCCCTTATAGGGCAGCTGAGTATAACCAGGAGTGGGGCCTATTTGCAGAGAAGTCACAGAACGTCCCGTGGCCAGTCATGGTCCTTTAAGCACAGGCACGGCAATAGCAGTTTCTGGAAGGTGGGGAGGAAATGCTTCCAGCCGAGATGCTGTGCCTCTGTCAGGTGCCCTTGTCAATGGGGCTTTAGATTCAGCTCCAGGAAGAAGATGTTTCCTGCTCCTTGGGTACCTGAGTGGTCCACAGTGTTTGTATCCTTATCCTTATATCTCTGGGGCTTCAGGAAGTACCACTTGGTTACAGAAGAGACACATTTACCCAAAGACAAAATGTAACCTTTCATGGGAAGTGGCTCTCACAGAAGCACCTTTTCCTGATTTAGAAAAAGAGCTAACATTGGAAAAAGTCATGTGTGATCCAGAGAATGAAGACATTCTTAATTAAGACATGCTACCAGAGATTGGCTCTGCGCTAACCACTAAAGAGCTCTCACTCTTTATCCTCCCAGCTGAGCGGTCCCCTGACCAGCATGCAAGTTCACTTGAAGGTGTTCAGAGCAGGCCTCTGGTCTTTTCAAATACACAAACAATCCTTTCTGCCATCCTCAAGTTTATCTGGCTTATCTTTTTATGTCCTCTTAAAAATTCAACCCACTCATTTTTAGTCCTTTCTGGTCCTATGGAAATAGTTTTGTGGATAAGCAAACAGACCACCATCCTGGGCTCCCCCTGCTTCCCATAGAACTTAGCATTCACCAGCCACAGCTGCTGGGGCTCCAGAGGCAACAAAGCTCGGCTAGCTTCCAGCAGTAGGTGGGGCGGGCTGTGTTTGGGTTTGTCTGGGATGCCCATTTCTGGTTGGGCAGCAGTCCCATGCTTTTCCTGGCTCCCTCTTGTGTATGCCAGCTTCCCCCTGGCCTCTGGCCAAGCCCCTGCTTTATTCAGGAGCCCTTTATTCCCTTTCTCCCGCCATGAAGGGGACTTGACAAAGCTCACTTTCCTTCCCTCTTGGAAACCACTTCAGCTCCCCAGCCTACCAAGGAGGGCTTTGCCCCACCTGAGTTTAGACCTGCTTGTACCTGTCCTATGTCTCTGTGTTTTCTACCCAGAAAAACAGTATATTTTTAGGCAAATTCTACTCACGTGCCAGTTAGCCGACAATGTAGGCATTTACCCCATAGGTCACTTATTAGAAGAGTGTTAGCCCTAACCCAAGGACCCTTAGTCTCTTAGTCTTAGGCTACAGATCAGAGCCTCGCAACTAGAAGAGGACACCATTGGTCATATCTGAAGGTCTTTGGCTTCTTGCTTATGCAAGATCCTAGCTTCTGCTCGTTTGTTATTATTGCAAAGACCAGACTCTTGGCTTCATTTCTTAGAGCAGCAGAGCTAGACAAACTGTGGAGATGGTCTCCAAATCCTGACTTTGGTGGGTAAACTAAGACCAGCAGAGATCAGAGACAGGAAGTGTCTAGCTAGTGGCAAAGACAGGATTAGATGCATCTGGTCTCCTGTTCAAGGCTAAGTGTTTGTGCATCTGTTTTCTCCCAGAAGGATTTGGGCATTAGGCTAGATGTCTCTTCAAATCCGTTCTTCTCCACTGATAGCTTCTAAAGTGGTTCAAGTGGGCTTAGGGACAAGAGGCATGCTGTCCAGTGAGTCCTTCAGAGGCCAGTTGTCCACCAGAGAGGATAGAGGGGATACACACTCCTTCTGGCACCAGGTTCTGAGTCTTGACGTTGTAGCTAATGTCCATTGTGTCCAGTGGTGAGAGTCTGGGGATTATGGGAATCATTTCTCTTTAATTAAGTAGAAATGGAAGCAACAAACAGGAGCATCATTAATTTAATTAGTTCTGACCACCTGTCTGACCTGGAGCAGCAGGCAGTCAACAGCATCTTCCTCTCCAGCCGGGAGCTCATTACATAGCCCAGGATGACCTTGAACCTGATCTTCCTGACTCCTTCTTTGTTGAGTGCTGGGATTACAGGCCTGGGCTACCACACATCACATATGCGGTGTTTCCGATGGAACCCTGGGCTATGTGCACGCCAGGTTCCCTCGTTTTTGTTTTTGTTTTTGTTTTTTTTCTATTGCTGGGATGAAACATCCCGACCAGAAGCAACTGGGGTAGGAAAGGGTTCATTTGGTTTACTCTTCCACAGCACAGTCCCGTCATCAAAAGAAATCAGGGCAGGAACTCAAGCAGGGCAGGAGCCCGGAGGCAGGAGCTTAGGCAGAGGCCATGGAGGAATGCTGCTTACTGGCTTGCTCCTCATGGCTTGCTCAGCCTGTTTTCTTATAGAACTCAGGACCACCTGCCTGAGGGGTGGGGCCGGCACAGCTCACAGTGAGCTGGGAGCCCTCACCTCAGTTATCAATCGAAAAGAATTCACCACAGGCTTGCCCCTAGGCCAGTCTGATGGAGGCATGTTCTCTGTCGAGGGTCCCCTTTCCTAGATGAACTTGGCTGGTGTCAAGTTGACTAAGCAACTCACGAGCTAAGCACTCCAGCGTCTGAGCCAGATCCCCAGCTGCCTCCACAGGCTAGTGACACTTGTCAGGCTGTACTGTTGGGACTTTATCTTTATTCTGTAAAATACTTCGGCCCACTAAACTATAGTGGGGCAGCCGCTATCCCCGGGGGCTCCCATCAGGGAGCTGCTACAGCATGACACACGATGGGGTGACGCGGCTATGTGTCTGGGTTTTTCATTTTCCCCCAAATAGAAAACCCTTGTGGACGTGACCTTGGAAAATAGCAACATCAAGGATCAAATCAGACATTTGCAGCAGACCTATGAAGCGTCCATGGACAAGCTCCGGGAGAAGCAGAGGCAGTTAGAGGCCGCTCAGATGGAAAACCAGCTGCTGAAAATGAAGGTAAAGCCACCAGACCTGTTCCCACTGACCCTCTCTCTTTAATTCATCTCTCTTTCCCTGTTCTCTTTCTCCCCAGACTTTCTCACCCACAGGCATGGTCTGAAGGTGCTGCGGAGGTGTCTGTTCACAGCTTCCCGCCTAGGGTTGGGATGCTGCGCAGATGTCCCTTTGGGGCATGCCTTTCTCAGCCTACAGTGGCCTCAAGGCTTCCTACAAGTCACTGTGACATTGTGATCATGCTACTGGGAAGGCCAGCGGGCTGCTTCCTGGGTCTAGAATACACTTTCCAGCCTTGGGGAGCTCTCCCTTCACTGTGTGTGTGCTCTTTAATGTCCCAAGGACTGCCTCTGCCCTACACACATGCACGCACACGCTCTCTCTCTCTCTCTCTCTCTCTCTCATACTCATACATCAAAGATCTGTCCCTTTTAACCACTGGACTAGGTGTAGGCTTAAGCTAGACTTCTAAAACCTTGCAATCCAGTTGGCCCTCCCAAAGTTTTCACTCAAGCCTGTGGGGTTCGGTTTTTAAGTTTTCAAAAGTGCCCGTTACATAACAATGGTTTCCATGTGACATTTTCGTACATGTATGTGTGTATTTTGATCATGTCTATCCCTTCCTTACTCTTTCTTATGACCCTCCCTCAACTCTCACGGATTGCCTTCCTTGTCCCAGCTGGTCCTCCTTTTGCTTTTATGTCTTTTTATGTATATGAGTGTAATTAGGCTTACCTATTAGGAGTATGGCTGAGGGATTATTTTTGGGAGCACATGTAATTTACCAGTGGCTACACCACTGAAGAAAATGTCTCTCCCAGCCACCATCAACTGCCTACAAGAAAGGGTGTGGCCTCAAAAGCCTCTCCTCCGACTGTGGTTTTCAAATTGTGTTCTATACAGCCTTAAGCCATTCTGTGGATCATGAATAACTTATTGCCTAAACCACAGTATGCTAGTGAAAAGTGGAGCTGCTAATAATTCAGTCAGGAAAATCATCCAGCAGTGCATCTTTCCTCACAGCTGCCATGCTGCGCTGTAGACTCTCTGTCATCCTCCTCTGGGCTCCTGCTGTTACAGCCACCCTGGAGTTAGGCTTGGGCAAAATATCAGCCCTTCTTTGCTCTCTCTTCAAATAAGGCATTGTTTTTAATTATGTGTATATGTGTGTAGCTGAGTGTGGGTTTGTGCACCTGAGTGCAGTGCCCACAGAGGCCAGGAGGGGGCATCAGCTACCTCAGAGCTGAAGTTACAGGTGATTGTTGGCCACTTGGGAACAGGGAACTGAACTCAGGTCCTCTAGAAGTTCAAGTGCTCTTAATCTCTTCAGCCCTAAGTCAGTCTTTCTTTTTACAATTTTATACATTCTATTGCTCACTAGGAGTTACTTTGAAAATTAGAAAGATGGTTGTGGAAGAAGTCAGAAGTTCCTGAATTGAACCTTTGTATACCTATTTACTCCACAAGCACTTATAGAGCATACTGTTTGGGTCTGTCCTGTGTGTTCCTGTTTGCTATTGGGATGGTATGTCACTAGGCATGACAAGGTAGCCTGAAAGTCCAGATCTTTTGTGTCCAGCCTACAGTGGCCAGTTTTAGAGAGTGATGATGAGTTTGGTCCTGACCACTGGAACTCAAAAGGTTTATTTATTTATTTTTTCCCCCATTCTCCCCTTTATTTTCATCCTTCAAATTAAGCATGAAAGAAGTTGCAGAGATTCAAGGAGCCTCACATGACTGGAATGCAGCATGGACAGGTCAAGGGTAGAACTCATTTCCATGACCCCTGTGCAGTAGAAATGGAGTGTGGAATTGACCTGGATTCTAAGTTAATGATAACCCTTGCCCGGGAATTTCCATCCTGTGGCTTTTCAGTACTGACATCTGCCTAATGATGAGCATTCAACGGTGTCAAAAGGGACTTGTTCTATCTGTGGAGTAAACACCACACAATTTATTTAGGCCAGAGGGTTCCTCCCTTTCCCAGAGGTGAGGTTCTTGCAAGCTCGGGTGCCTTAGATAAGCAGAAGGCTGGAAGGAGGGGCAAGGACACGCCCACAGCTGCATCGGGTCAGTGGTCTGAGGTCCTTGCTGAAAGTCAGAAAGGGAACACCATCCCTGGAGCCTCGCCCCACCCCCCTCAGCTCCAAAGACTCTCTCAAGCTGCCACAGGCTCCAAGTAGCCACTGAAAGCTCCCAGTAGAGTGGCCCTACTAGGCCAAGATGCTTCCAAAGACAACAGTTTGGAAAGCACAGAGTGTGGGAAAGATGAATATAGATTTCTTATTTGTGCTTAACGAGGCCTGACTCAGATGTGGTCGGTCATTGCCATGAATGGGATTGAATGGAGAATCGATCTTGAAAATAAATTAAATCTGTGCACATATGGGCACATAGCGCGTGTGTGTGGACGAACTTGTGTCTATGTATGGGTGTAGGTCAGAGGTCGACTCCGAGTGTAGGTTACTCAGGAGCTGTCCATCTTATCTTCTGAGACAGTCTCTCACTGGGACCCACACTTCCTGTTCTAAGGTGGTCGGTGAGTGAGCTCCAAGGAACATCTACCTATCTGTGTCTACTCAGTGCTGGGAATTCAAAGAGTGAGCCACCGTACCTGGCTCCCCTTCCATTCTTCCTTCCTTCCCTTCTCCTCCTCCATTTCTTCCTCCTCCTCTTCCTCCTTCTTCTTACATAAGTTCTGAAAAAACAAACAAACAAACAAACAAACAAAAACACGTTGCCAACTAAGCCCATCTCCCCAGCCTCAAGATGTCATCTTCTGAAAAGTTTCCTCTCTGAAACACCTTGTACCAGTCATCCTAGATAACTTACTGTTCTGTGCCACACTGGTGTATGTGCTCTGCCCTCTCTCTCTCCCTGCCCTCCTGCCTGTTGCTTCCCTCTAGGGGTCATGCTCTGACCTCTGTGTATAGAGATGCCAGAGGAGCAAGGCTCAGGCTGCGGTTCTGCAACGACACTCTTTGCAGGTGGAGTCATCGCAAGAAGCCAACGCTGAGGTGATGCGGGAGATGACAAGGAAGCTGTACAGCCAGTATGAAGAAAAACTGCAGGAGGCCCAGCGCAAGCACAGTGCGGAGAAGGAGGCCCTCCTGGTACGTGTGTGCCCCAAAACAGAATGCTTAAGAGGTGGCTGGCAGATATAATAGGAGGGTTTTGTCCTTGAAGGGAGTCACGAGGTTGGATATAAAGAGGAATCAGGGGATCCTTCCTTCCTTCCATCCATCCATCCATCACCTATTTCATTTGTGTTATACACGCACGGAGGCGAGAGGTTGATGCTGGCAGCGGGCTTCCGCCATTGTCCACCTTCTTTACTACTTCCTTATTGGGAAACTGAGTCTTTTCCCTGACCCTGGGGCTTGCCATTTAGTCTAGGCTGCTGGCCAGCAGTTTCCCAGGATTCCCCCACCCCCCTGGCTCCACATTAGCCCCTGAAATGCTGGGGTCACAGGCATGCACTGTCATGCCCAGCTCTTACTTGCATGCTGGGATCTGAACTCAGCTCCTCCTGCTTGCATGGCAAGGTCTTCATCCACTGGGCTATCTCCCTGGCCCAGGGGATTTATTTGATTATTCATTCTGTCCCGTTTTTCCTCCTTCTGGAATAACCTGCTGTCTCTGCCTCAAAAAGCACATTTCCCCAGCTAATAGGACCATTCCCCAGTCCAAGTAGATCCTGTGTTTGTTTACTCCACTTGCTTCTCCTCCTGAAACCTCCCACTTCCCATCCTGGATTCTGCCAGTGCTTCCAACCCCCAGCCTTGAAAGCTCCACCCTCCCCATCCTGATGTCTGCATCTAGAAGTGACCTTTATCCCTTCCTCTTCCTGGCGTGGGGTTGCACCTGTGCCTCTGTCCAGAGGTGAACTCACAGTGTGGCCTCTCTAGGACAGGACAGGGTCGTTGAAGGAGTCCCTCTGTTTGACTGGTTTTTCTGTGTCCTTGAAGGTTTAATCAAGGCACCAGATGTTTCGGTTTTCCCTTAAGAGCAAGTTTGTGCATTGCATTGTGGGAGGAAGATCTGGGATTTCCTCATTCTACTTCAGGTGTATGTTGGTCCACACAGTGGCACTCTGAACTTTTGTGCAATGTTATTTAAACCTTCACAGGCTGTTTTGTTTTCTTTCTTTTTTTCTCCTTTTTTTCTTATACCTTTGGAAAATAATCTCTCAGGAGAGACCGTTAGTAGGCCCATTGAAAAGCCAGACTGGGGGGGGGGGAGGGGCTAGTGAGATTGCTTAGCACAGTGTTTCTCAATCTGTGGGTTGTGACCTCCTCGGGGGTTGAAAGACCCTTTCACAGAGGTCACATATCAAATATCCTGCATATCATATATTTATGATTAAGTCATAACAGTAGCATAATTATAATTAAGAGGTAGCAATGAAAATAATTTTATGGTTGGGGGTCACCATAACATGAGGAACTGGATTAAAGGGTCACAGCATTAGGTAGCGGGTAAAGATGCTTCATTGCCAAGATAAGCCGAGTTCAGTCCCAAAGCCCACATGGTGGAAGGAGAGAACAGACATATGAAAGCTCTCTTCTCACCTCCACACTTCTGACCTCCACACGTGTCCCCTTAACACACAAAGTAAAATACATGTAAATTTTTAAATAAGGCTAAGGAGGAACAGCTACTCGAGGTGCTTTGTGAGTTCACTCTGTGCGAGGCACACGGGTCCGAGGGTCATGCTTTCCCAGGGAGAGCGTGGTGCAGTGCGGCGCTGTCTGGGCTTAGACGGCTCGCCTAAGTCGGGCCATGCTGAGGGGAGTGTGTGCCTGTTGCAGGAAGAAACCAATAGCTTTCTGAAAGCTATCGAAGAGGCCAATAAAAAGATGGAGGCAGCTGAGCTCAGCCTGGAGGAGAAGGACCAAAGGATCGGGGAGCTGGACAGACTGATTGAACGCATGGAGAAGGTAACAGATGCAGCCTGGGCCTGCTGCCTGCCTGCCTAGTCCCTGGCCTCACAGTTCCCCCTGAACGCCTCCCTAAAGGATCAGAGGCCTCAGGACTGACTCCTCTCAGCTTCTCAGTTTGCAGTGAAACACATTCTGTAAAGTAACACAAAAGGGAGCTGAACAAAGTTCTTGCCTTCCTCTCTGGTAACTACTTTTTATTTTGTTGTTTGTTTCCGTAGTGCTGGCAGTTGAGCCCATGGTCTTGAGCGTGTCAGGCACGCCATTAGCTCCAAACCCATTAAGCCAGGCCCATCAAAATTATTTTGATACATTTAAAAGAATGTCACATGTGACATTCTTTCTGTAAATTGACATTGCAGCAGCCAGCTTTGTGGGTGCTCTGGATGTGTTCTTTATTTAACCCGATGAGGCAATGTGTCTGGAGGCTCTATCAGCACCCCACCCCACCTCTTTCTGGGGCATGTGTCTGGGGCAGGGTGACTTTTCCATGACACGCCTGGGGCCTGAAAGAGGGGAGGAGGCAAACTCCTGTGTGTGTGTAGAAAACAGGCTGGTCATGGGGCAGGGGCTTACAGGGCTGGCAAGCCAGTCTAGAGGCAGGGACAGGAAGTGGAAGAGAAAACACAGGAAGGAAAGGCCATTGAGCAGTTGACAGCTGACTTTTAGGTAGGCTTACTGGAGTTGAGGGCCAAAGCTAGGTCTAGTTTCTGGAAAACAGTCCTCTAGCTTCACTGTGGTCAAAGCTAGCGTGGACCCACCACAGACTCGCCATCATTAGCACCCGGTGCCAGGCTCTGCATGCTGGAAACCTCCAGCTTAGATAGAGCAAGGCCCTGTCTGGACTTCAGGTAGACCTGAGGATCTCCCTGCTAGCTCATTATCCAGGTCTTCAGACCTCTGGAGAGGACGCTTAGAGGTTCCTTTCCCACTAGTGTCCTCTTTCCCCCCTTGGAAAACAGAAGCTCACCATTTAGGTTTGGAGCCTGTATAACTTGTACAATTTGAGGGGTATATTTGCTGAGAGTAGAGATGAGGAACAGCTCTCTCAGGAGTGACCACCCAAAGCAACATTCCCCCTGCCACCTTAGCTGGCAGGGCTCCCTTTTAAGGGATTTCACTATATTAATATCTGTAATGTATGTCTACTCCAATTCAAGTGATGACAGATGCTGTGCTTTTATTAACATTTTCCTTAAGTGTTAATAAACTAAATAAATGTTAAATTGAACTTCTATGTTCAGTGAAGTGTACGAAACATATAGCTTGACACACACATTTCTTATTGCTACTGAAATAAGTTGCCGCGGTCAGCGGCTTTCAGTAATGTGAATTTGTTTCTTTTGGTTCTGGAGCTGAGAAGTCCCAGAGTGAAGATGTTGGCAGGTTTTTGGGTTGGTCCATAGGACATCACCAGAATTGCAGAGCCTCTTTGTTGGATGATTTTGAAAACAACTAGGAATTTTTAAAATGCCAAGGGCCACTGATTTGTGACGTGGATTATCATTATTTAGAACTCTAAGTTTTCATAAGACATGTGAGCCTGGGCTGGCACTCATGAGCTTTGACTAGAGTGCTTTGTCTAATCCATAAGCGTGTCTGTGCATTGGGCCCCTTTCAGTAAGTTAAGTATTAAGCTCTGGGCTAGTGGATGTGTGAAATCGAGGGAGTGGTGTACAGACTTGGACACACCAGAGCTGGGTGTGCCAGTGTTCGTCTTCTGTCTGGTCGAGTCTGGATCCATTGATTATGTCTGTTTTAGGAACGGCATCAACTCCAGCTGCAGCTCCTTGAGCATGAAACAGAAATGTCAGGGGAGATCGCAGATTCTGACAAGGACAGGTGAGGCGAGCTGGCCTGGACTTAAAACAACTCAGAGGTGGATAAGACATTCTTGAGTGTGTGTGTGTGTGTGTGTGTGTGTGTGTGTGTTCTTGCACACAGAGGCCGGAGGACGATGTCTGGTATCTTTCTCTTATAACTTTCTACCTTATTCTCTTGCTCCACGGTCTCTCACTGAACCTCCAGCTAGGCTGGAAGCTAGTAAACCCCGGTCATCCTCCTGCCTCCCCTTCCCCAACACCCTACACCACAGCTATGCCCAACTTTTTACATGGGTATTGGGGATTTGAACTCATGTCTTCATGCTTGCCTAATAAATCCTCTTAGCCACGGAGCCATCTCCCCAACCCTGTATGCGCTGTTCGGATAGCTCGTTTGACTCTTGTGTTTTCATTCACGTGGTCTTCTCTTAGTACCAGCCTATGTAGCGTGACATTGGCTGAGAGCACCCAGCTCTCAGTGGATCCAGTTTCTTCAGGAGTTTGCAGTCACACCTCGCTGCTGGCTGTTAGTTCAGCGGGACACACCAAAGATGGCCACAGGCACGGAAGTTGAGCCTGTATGTGTGCACAGCCCCGAGAGCCACAGGATGCCCCTTGTTCATGAGATATCTCACCACCTCTGACTGACACTTTTTGTCCTGGAAACTAATCTTAAAATGTTGCTTGTTTCAAGGCCTCGCTCACATTGCCCTTTGGCCGTGAGCCTGTGAAACCCTGGATGGAAAATACAGCAGTCATATATGGTCTTTTCTAGAAATCAAAAGGCAGAGAGGAAGGAAAGCAAGGCTGGGCTGATTGGAGCCCTTGGGCAAGTTACCTGACCCCTGACCCTCTTTGCCTAACTGGGATGGAAACTCTTTGTTTCTTTATGTGGATCAGGTGCCCATCCCTTTGGTTCACACTGTAAGGGAACTTTGACCTATGGCCTGGTATACAGTATACGATGGGGGAAAAGAATCCGTTTTTCTTCGACTTAAAACATTTTATTATGTTTGTTCATTGTGCAGGTGTGTGTATGTGTTGCAGGCGTTCCATGGCACGGCATGACAACTTTCAGAAATTCTTTCTTTCTTTTCATCCTGTGGGTCATGTGGGGAGTCAACTTAGGTCTTAGGTCATCATGCTTGGCAGCAAGCACCCTTACCCGCTGAGCCATTGTGTTGGCTGTTCTTCTATAACTTGAGGGTTTCCAAAGTCGTAGGGTTCCTCGGTAGTTTCTACCTTGGTGCTAATGAGGGACCTGGTATTGCTGGGAAGTGGGACACGGCCACTGAACATTTCTTCCGGTGTCATCCACTAGCTCCTTTGGTTGGTTCGAGCCAAGCAAAGACAGAATAATGTCTCTAAGGAAGCTCTGAGATGTTCCGTGGTGGGGCGCAGTGGTGCAGTGAAGGGCTTTTCTTACGTGCTTGTTTGTCCAGTAAGTAATGAATGCAGCAGCTTTCCCGGATTCCACCCTTGATTTCAGGGGCTCCTCTGTGTTCCTAGACCCTTCTCTCCCCCCCCCCCCCCCCCCCCCCCCCCCCCCCCCCCCTTCCCTGCGGGTTCCCCCCCTGCCCCCCGCCCCCCCCCCCCCCCCCCCCCCCATTAAGGTCACTGACTGCAGGTTTCAGCGTGTGTTAGCCCCCAAGGAAGCCTCTCGTACTTGTCAGTGGAGGAGAACTTTCTCATTCTGCCCCTGGGAAGTACAGACATGTCATTATGCAGCCTGAACTCAACGAGGGGCCTGGGGAAGTCTCTCGGGGTGACAGTGACCCCAAGTTAACCCCTACATTCCAACGAGAAGAGCTCGTGGCTTCAGTTTGAGTTTTTGTTCTGGCTTCTATAAAGCTGTGGCAGGTCCTGCTGCCAGGGTTCTTCTTCTAAGTCAGTGCTCAGAGCCCTCTCCTCTGCCTTAGGTACCAGCAGCTGGAGGAGGCATCAGCCAGCCTCCGAGAGCGGATCAGACACCTGGATGACATGGTGCATTGCCAGCAGAAGAAGGTGAAGCAGATGGTAGAGGAGGTAAGCTCTCGCAGAAGGCCCACCAGGACAGCATCCTGTGGTGGGGAAAAGATAGCACTCTAGCCCTCATGTCACTTTGCCCCAGCCACTGTCACCATAGCCCAGAGGGATAGCTCCTCTTGTGGACTGTGTGGACCAGTGGTTGTTCCCCTCGAAGGAGGCTGTCCTCTAGGCCAGAGGGTTGGTCAAGTACAGTTCACAGAACACACACTGTCAAGGGACAATGGGGCTACATGTGAGTCCTGTTGTTTAGGGGACAAAAGGTGACAGAAGGTAACCTTAGGTCCTGTGCCCTCATTTCCTGCACCAGCCATTGTGCCCTTGCTCTGCTTCTGGATGCACCTCTCTCTTCTGCCCCTTTTCTTCCTTTCCCATGATGCTCTGCTCCCTGTGTCCTCTGTCCTTCCTCTCTCTTCATCTCTCACTCTTGTTTCTCCTCCATCTTTTCTCTCCTCTACATCCTTCCTCTCCTTAACCGTATATGTAATATGAAAAGTTATATATTTAATCTTTTGGGATAGTTTATCAATCTATTTTTTTTTCTAAAGGAGAAGAAAATCAGGTAGGTTGGACATTTGCTTCTCTAAGAAGAAAGAATGATTTTGCCTTGGCTTAATGTGGTCTGCCTCTCTTTCTTGCAATACCCAGTAGGAGAAAATCCATGTGTGGTTAAAGCTGGGCATATCGTCACTGTAGATGGTTCTTACTTAATTTTAAAAATTGGTAGAAAAATCTGATAGAAAAAAATAACAGAGTTCTAAGAATATCTAGGTTCTAATTCTCTAACTTGAAAAATAAAGCCAAATGAATTAAAATATTGGTTGACAGAAGAAAATAAGAAAAAAAACTTTTCTTTATAATAATCACTACTTTAAAATATGCTTATTTTGCATATGCCTGTGTATGTGTGTGCTCCTGTGCGTGCATATTCCATGCATGTGTGCATGTCTGTGGAGGCCTGGAGACTTGGCTGCTTTGCCTCATTTTGCCATATTTTTGGAGACAGGGTTTCTCACTGGCCTGAAGCTTGCCAACTAGGCCAGGCTGGCTGGCCAATAAACCCGGAGTTGGGTTTTAAGTGTGTACCACCACACCTAGCCTGTACCACCACACCTAGCCTTTTTCGTAGGTTCTGAGATAGAATTCTGATCCTTACACTTGCAGGAAAATCACATTACCAACGAACTGAGCATCTCCCCAGCTCTATGACTGTTTCAAAAGGAATCATTAATATTTAAAGTATATGTATTTCCAAGAAGTTGTACACATGATAGGTGATGGAATTAAAAGCATAACTACTTTAGCAGTCTAGGCGATGCCGGGGTAGTGAGGGTAAAGTCGGGGAATTATGAGGGTGGGAGGGACACTGGTTTTTTTAGGTCTAGGGTAAACATTCACAGTAGATAAAACCTTGTCTCCAAATGAGGAGTCTCGTGTTGAGTCTTGTACGGCTCGCACACGAGTATCTAGGAAGTGGGACCACAAGCTGAGGAGGAGCCAGGCTGCACCTTTCCAAACTCACACACTCATGTGGGAGCACCAACGGCCGATAGTGACGGGTGGACTCACCGGCAGCAACAGTGATGGGCGGAAGTGTGTTTGCCAAGGGGAGGCGAGGTTCATGTCCAAGGAAGCTTGGCTATCAGAGCACACCTTCTCCATCACTGGGTTTCCCACATTTAAAGTTGGAGGCAGGGGGATGCCTTAATTTATGTGATTCTTGGGACCGCCATTTTTCCTTCCTTACAGCAGGGGTGTTTGTATTACTCATGTCTAGTGTAAGAGACAGAATACTGTTTTTTATATTGTATTTTCAGAGTGTAATAAATGTTCCTAACAAAAGGGAGTGAAGGAAACACACACACACACACACACACACACACACACACACACACACACGCCCTATAGGAGTTCACTACTTGTTTCGATCAGCAGAGGACATCAGATCCCCTGGAACTGGAATTACACGTGGTTGTGAGCCACTGGGCATGAGGTCCCCTGGAAGAGCAGCAAGTGCTCTTCACTGCTGAACCCCTCCATGCTGGCTTCTGTATTTTAAGTCACTTCTAGATTATGTGTAATACTAAATACAGCGCACATTGTTGTATTCTGCATAAAGGTGAGGGAGAAATCTGTACATGCTCAGCACAGATGTAACTTTTTAAAAACTGTTTTTAATCTGAAGGCGGTTGACTCAGAGAGGGCTGAGCCTGCGTGTGTGGGGTGGTGTTTAAGCCAGGAAGTGTGGCAAAGACTGAGGTCCCGGCCTCTGAGTTCTCGTTTCCCACGCTCAAGCTTCTCAGAGTGTAGACCAGCGCTGTGAGTAGCACTAGTGCCACCTACCGGCTGCCTGGGTTTTAACAGCAAAAGGAGATTTTTTTTGTTGTTTGGTTTTTTTTAAGTCTGTATTCTGAATGCAAGATCTTTTAAAGAGTGACGTGGACAAGTGAGTGTGTCCAGAGGAGCCACCAGGCTGGAAAAGAGGCAGGAGCTGTAGGAATTCAGAGGGAGTTGGGGGGCGGGGGAGGACGTGGCCACAGAGGGGAGAGGGAGCTGATGGGTTCTTGTAGAGCAAGGGGGTCTTGTTTTGGTGCAAGGCCAGGCCAGAGCCACCGGGTGGCGCCCTCGGTGAGTCGCATTCCGTAGACAGCATTTCTGGTGTTGGCTGCTCTGAGGAAGCCCTTTGCCACAGGCCCCAGGTGCATCCCTTGCAAAGGGAGGCAGTGCGCCCAGAGCTCACTGGCGTTGCTGCAGGATTCCGTGGGCTCCAGGGATCGAGTCCAGGTCTCCGGGCTTGGACAGCATGGTGTCTTCATCCACAGAGCCATCTCACCAGCCCCACCGTGTTCTTACTAAGGAACTCTCTTTTTCTCTGCTGTGTCTGTTACTGGGACCTCAGCTTCGTCGTTACTTACGTAATAAGAGTCCATACAAAAACACCTCAAAGCGATGGATTGGATGGCCAGGGCCTGGAAACATGCATTCAGGGTACACCAAATGCCATGTTGCAATGTGGTTGTTACGGTTTGGTGGAGTTTTTATAGTTATAGGACCAAAGGAAATCATGAATCAAGGCACTTTTCACGTATATTGTTAGGAACCTCGGACAGGCAAGGAAGTCTCTGCTGCATGATCCAGGTACCGACTGATGGCGCTTGGAGCTTTGGGCTGTTGAAAGCCAATGGTCAGTTAAGTTGATATACCTCAGAAGGTTTCACTCGGTAGTCACAAGGATGTTAGGTCAGACACAGCTGGGCAAATAATAATAGCCCAAGATAGTCTGGCTCCGGATCTGCAGCATTCCTACTCTCCGAAATCAGCACGTTCTCAGCAGCCTCACAGGGGCTTTAACATGGGTGTGGCTTTTTCTGAGAACTCCGGTTCCCTGTAGCAAAATCAACAGCATCTCAAGTCAATCACCCCAGCTCACCCGGGCCTCGTTTTGAAAGCTTACCTACTGAATAAGTCACCGAAGAATGCTGAGTTCCCACTTGAGTGGAGAAGTGTATTTTTATCTGTCAGCGCCTGGTACCCAGAGAGAGAGGCACAATGGAGCTAGACTAGGACCAGCTGGTTGGTGCAGCCAGGGCTGTTTTTTCCTCTTTCCCCTGAAGTTCAGAAGCTTTGCCTGTGACACAGCTCTGCCTTCCCCAAGGCTGGGACTCTTGGGTGATGGCTCCTGCCAAGTCCTATTTTGGTGATAACGGCTTTGAAGAGCCTGTCAGCATGAACTGATTGGTCAGCCCTCAGGTCCAGCTGTCACTACTGAGCCTCTTAGAGACCATTCTGTGTCAAGCAGTGTTTTCCCCACCCCAGTACGATATCACTGTTAAGAGCACTGATCAAAATAAAGGTGCTCCTCCCAGCTTTTGCTGTCTCCGACTCTTAAACACTTGGCTTCCACTGTGCGGAACAGTAAGGGCTTATACCGTGTCCTAAGATCAAGTGTGAGCTCCTAACTGTTTTCCAGTTTCCCATCTTTTCATTTGCTCATTTACCCTCTTTTTATGATAACGTTTTGTTTTCTTGGTCTGTGTCTGTATGTGTGCTTGCATGTGTGTGAGCACATGTGCGCATGTGGAGGCCAGAGGCTGATGTCATGCGTCTTTCTTGGTCACGGCTCACTGTATTTGCCAAAGCAGGGTCTGTCATTAGAGCTCGCTGATAGAGCCGGTCTAGCTAGCCAGCTTGCCCTGGGATCCCCTGTCTTTACCTCCGAGTCATTAGGCTTACAGGCGGCCACCACACTCACCTCACTTTTCATAGGGAGGCTGGGGATCCGAACTCAGGCCCTTACACTTGTACACGGAGCCATACTTAGCCCCCAACACAGCCGTTTGGTTAAAGTGAGAATGTAGTAAGAAGTGATGTTCTCTTTTCTGCTTCTCCACCTGGCTGGGCACTGGAATTACCCAGGGAGCTTTGGAAAGACCTCCAAAGCTTGCAGATGCTGGTGGGAGCTGGTAGTTGGTTATTCAGGTCTCTTGAGTGTGTGTGAATGTGTATGTGAGTGGGTGCGTGCATGAATGTGTGTACGTGTGTGTGAGTGTGTGTGTACGAGTATGACTGTATTTCTGTGTCCATCACACCGCAGACTGACTTTCCTTGTCAGGCAGGGTGTCTGCCGAGCCTTTTTTAGAAGTTTCTGTGCCCAGGTGGGGAGCTGGCAGTGAACCTAGAACAGGGCACTGTCATTGAAGAAAGGCCTGGGCACTAGGAGCCAGGGCCAAGGGCAGGGACTTTAAACCTGGACCATTTCTTCCTGCTAGCCTTGGCCTCCGGGTCCTGGAAGGGCTCTGCTGCAGCGTGATGTCATTCAATAGCAGCTGTTGGTGTCCGCAGCGTAGGGATATCCCCTAGGTGACCGGGATCCATCCAGATTCACAGGTGTGTCCGGCAGTTTGACATCGAAGCGCAGCATGGTCATCTACAAAGTGTGTGCTCAAGAACCAGAAAGAAAGCAAGCTCATCCTGTATCACGTAAATTTATGGTTTTGTGT